CAGCCTTTTTTGGTGGTCTAGGAGCAGTGGCTTCTTCCTTGCTGAGCAGTCTTTCAGGTTATGTCTATCAAACTCGTTCTACTGTGGATATAGATACTTTGGTATCTGCTTCCTCCAGTGTCTTCACAAGGTCCTTTGCTGCTGCTCTGGGATTGATTTGTACTGTTCGGACCAAAGTACATTCATCTCTAGGAGACAGAACGCATCTCGAGATCTTCATGAGCAGTATGATGGCTGCATTGTTCCATGGTACCCACCCCCCACCCCCGAGGTTTTGACTGATTTCTTTTGATTTTTACCATGATGTCAAACAAAGGAGTACTGAGTTTGAAAATGGGTCTTAAATCAATCAATCAGTTTAGCCAATCAGAAGCTTCTAAAACCATGACATCATTTTCTGGATTATTCCAAGATGTTTACATGCACAGTCAACTGAGTGTATGTAAACTTCTGACCCACTGGAATTGTGATGCAGTGAATAATAAGTGAAATAATCTATCTGTAAACAACTGTTGGAACAAATTCTTGTGTCATGCATGAAGTACATGTCCTCTGACTGACTTGCCAAAAGGAGAGTTTAACATGACATCTGTGGAGTGGTTAAAGAAAAATCTGTTTTAATGACTTCAACCTAAGTGTATGTAAACTTCTGACTTCAGCTGTATTATGAAAGTTTTCATAATACGTCCATGTACAAATCTGCCACTTGTCTTCTTATTTGGTTAGGGAGACGACTGGTCCCTGTCCAGTAAACTACTGGTATAACAATTGTGACTATGGCCTTTTGATATTTAAGTGGAAATGTTGCATCAGTAGTGACATCTGAACAGAAGTGGTCAGCTGGAAAGCTTGTAGATGCATGTAGATTGAGAGGTGTGAACAGTGATGTGTTTTGGCTGTCCTCCTGTGTTCAGATCACTGAGACACATTTTAATACAAAGTCTAAATAGCACCTCTTTGTTTACACTACACCAAAGTAGCTATTAACGGTTAATTTTTGCTATGTGCTATTGGATGTACTGACAATAATGTTAATACTGAAGAAATCTTTACAGTCTAATGTTTCTCAAGCAGGTTCTGAAGCTTTCGAGCTCCTGCTCAGTATGAATATATTGGCCCCATAACAGGCCCCAAGTTGCACTGTAGGCTGCAACTTGGGGCCTGTTATTTAGCCTGTATTTGTTCTGGAACATTAAGTACAAGGAATTGGCGATTATCAGAATCAGCTTTATTGGCCAGGTGTGTTGGACACATGAGGAATTTGACTCTGGTACAGAGTCAGTTCACTTTTGCTGTGTACTATTGGCTATGCTGATAACTATCACTGCATTACTTTGATAGCAAAGAATTCTTTAAAACCTGATGACATCCTGTCTTACCTCCCAGGTTGCCAGTGGGATGATTCTGGTCATGGCCTTCTTCCTCATCACATACACCTTTCACTCTACCTGGGTGACTAGTGAAGCCTACTCCTCTCCTTCAATTGTCTTATCGGCCCGTGGAGGAGATGGCAGTCGCATCATTTTTGATGACTTCAGAGAGGCTTACTACTGGCTCCGACACAACACTCCTGAGGTCAGTCACGGCCAAAGAAAAATAATAAACTCATAACGTTAGTCATCTACATTGTTTAGAGATTGTTGAACTGTGCATAGTTATAGCCACTAGGTGAAAGGGCTTCTTTAAACACTTATTTTGCGTTTCCAGGATGCCAAAGTCATGTCGTGGTGGGATTATGGCTACCAGATAACTGCCATGGCTAATCGAACCATCCTGGTGGACAACAACACATGGAACAACACTCACATCTCCAGGGTTGGACAGGTGAGCTGGGTAACCTTCAGGATAATCGTGTTGATGAAGTGCTGCTGTGTTGACGGCTCTGCTCTTTGCTTTATAGGCCATGGCATCCACAGAGGAGAGGGCCTATGAGATCATGAGGGAGCTGGATGTCAGTTATGTCCTGGTCATTTTCGGAGGACTGACAGGCTATTCCTCTGACGGTACATCCCAAGTATCAGTAGATGAGAGGCTGAGTCCTAGAATGTTGTGGCTTTTAGTGCAGCTTCACTTGGTAGAAGTGCAGTACTATGGACTTTAAGTTACAGCATTGTTACATGAAAGAATGACCTTGCTAGCTCACCAAATTGTTAGGACTTTGTCATTGAATGACTTTTTAACTGAATGTCTTGGGAAAATGAAAGGGAAAAATGACAAGATGTCAAAGCAGTTTTATGAGCTGTTGTCTGGTCTGTCTCTCTGAAACACAGATATCAATAAGTTTCTGTGGATGGTCCGTATTGGGGGAAGCACAGACACAGGCAAACACATCAAGGAGCACGACTATTACACTCCCACCGGAGAGTTCAGAGTGGACCGGGAGGGCTCGCCCGTCCTGCTCAACTGCCTCATGTACAAGATGTGCTACTACCGCTTCGGCCAGGTCTACACAGAGGCCAGTGAGTGACTCCACTGCTTGGTGGGATCTGTTTGTTCAGCCAGTTTACCTTGCAGTCAGAGGCAGAGTGAGAATTGACTCACATGTGCATTCTTGAAAGGCCACTAAAATTAGGCTGATCAATGATGCAGCTCCTTCACATATGTTGTATATTGTAACCATACTTAGACAACTGTTGTCAGAATCCATGGATAACAACCAGAACATAATAACTAGTAGCAGGTGCTCTGTGCTGAGATAAATGGCTGTATCGGCTTCTGTGTTGTTAGCAGGCATAACACGAGGAGTAATGCACAAATATGCATTTTGTTGATTCTTTTCATTAAGTACAAATTAGAATCAGACTTAGTGTAGTAATTATTTTAATGATCATCTCTGCAGAGCGCCCACCTGGCTATGACAGAGTAAGGAACGCTGAGATTGGGAACAAAGACTTCGAACTGGATGTGTTGGAGGAGGCCTACACAACAGAGCACTGGCTGGTTAGGATATATAAGGTAAGGTAAAACAGCTGACTTCCTTTGACATATTAGAGAGTAGTGATTGTAGGCTGAACATCGACGCTTCGAAGCATGTGTTGAGTACTTGGGGGCAATGGAAATTGAACTTTATCGAGGCTTATATCCTTTAGAAAATGTGACATCACTGATGATGTTTGAAGCTTCATCTAGTCTGCTGGTTCAGACAGTGCTTCAAAGTTGGTGGGATGTTTGAGATAGGAGAGAACAGAGATGGCAAAGTTCGTGTGTTTGTATTGTTGAAGATCATTGCAGTGCGACTGATATTTCCACAGCATCAGCACCAAAATTCAGAAGTTATTGCCAGTATGGGAACATTTTAGTTTAACCTCCTCACAAATTCAATCTTATGCATATTGTATGTGCTGTCATGTTGTAATGTTTATTTTCCTTTAGTCTTAATATCAATTATAGGTATGACTGTATTGTATGTACAATTTATGGTTCTTTGGGTGAAATATATTTGGCAAATTCCCCCCCCAAAAAAAGCCCAAAGACCCTACAGCAAATAGCTTTTAAATAAAAATGGTTAGTTCCCCTCTTCCCTGTCCAATCACACAAGCATATTTACCACAGACGTCCTAAGCATATATTGTTTATGAAGTACAGTGTTCTCACACGTGTGAGAGACAGTTTACCTTTTGTTGATATTAACAATAACATATAAAAACTTAGTGACATCAGAATCAGCTTTATTGGCCAGGTGTTGGACACATGAGGAATTTGACTCTTGTACAGCAGCTCACAATGCCTTATGTAAGGCAGCAGTGGGCAAGTAACCAATATAAGGCTGAGGACTGAAGTAAAGTAATGTGCAATCAAGCAAAGGAATGTGCCTTAGGAGTAAAAATAAAGTACTATATACACACACATTACACACCTGTGAAGTTTTTAAAGTCATTAATTCACACATTACAGCAGTAATAATAATGACATGGCTTTGTTTCACATTTTGAAGATTTAGTCATTGAAACTGAGTAACACAAGTGAGTTGCACTGCTTCAGTCTATTTCTGCAAATTCCTGCACTTGTTTAGAATCTAAACCTGCAATTAGAGCTACAACACTTTTAATCAATTAGTTGATTGACAAACCTAATCAACACCTGTTTTGATAATTGATTTGTATAATCGATTTGGTGTTTTTTTTTTAATTTTTTTTTTTTTATATATAAACTAACCTAAACTCTTAATGGTTCCAGGTTCTCAACTTTAGAATTTGCTGCTTTGACCTTGGTCTTACATATAAATTGAACATTTTGGGGCTTTGAAATGTTGATTAGACAAAAGACATGATACTTTTTTTGCCATTTTTTTATGTCTAAAGTACTTGTGTAACTCTTCCTGGAATACATTTAGAATCAATAGGTTAGTCTGTTTCAAGGTGACTTTATTTTTAATAGTTGCAGTTGTCTGCTCCCTACAACTTTTCTATTGAAGGCTAGGCACACATTCTAATGCATATTAAAACTGAACTGCATTTAATCAAAGTCTTATTTAATCTAACCGTGTCATTTAGGTGAAAGATCTTGACAACCGGGGACTTTCAAGAACATAAAATCTTCAGACTGCAGTGAAGATGGCCTTTTCACACACAGCACTGAACACTTCCACAGTGGTCTACAGACTGTGAAAACAGTACTTTTGATATCTTTTGTTTTGAGGAAAACTGCATCAGAGATTTTTTTTTTTCTTGTGTGGATGACTTTGTTATAATGAAATGTCTCATCCTGAAACGAGGGAGCTGGTATCAAAATGTCCAGTCATGTCAGGAAGTAAAAGTTGCTATGAAGTGGTCAAAAGAAAAGTGTTCATTCGAATGCTTTGGATTTTTACGATGTGGTCAAATAAAATGGGATTAAACATGGAAAATTGGTGAGTTGCCTCATTCCTCCTCAAACTGCATCG